TCAGGATACTGGGCCGCGCGAGAGTTATCTCGTCCTACCTGTGACCCCCCTTTTCAGGGACCTGGTGTTTCGGCACTTCAGGCACAGGTATGGAAGTTAAAAACTACGCGAAAGCTTATGCATTTCGCGTGGCAATGTGTTTCAGGCTGTTTAGCCACTTATCAGAGATTATGCTATCGTCATATTGGCAACTAGAAAAGATGTCCCTGTTATGGGGCTCCGGAAGAATCCATAAACCATCCTCTTCGATTGTCCGCCTTCGAGGCAAATTTGGACCTTATCACCCATTCCCACCTCAGGGCACATTTTCCCCAGAAGTTCCCTTTTCTATAATTTCGACTTTCTTTTCTGGCGTGGGAAAGAATTCGGAATAGAAGAGGAAACTTTGGAACTCTTTCCATGGATATTGTGGTATATGTGGAAAAGTCGTAACAGATTTTGCTTTGAAAACTTCAAAGAACCTCCTCAGGAGACTCTTGCCTTGGCTTTACGAGAAGCCTCTGTGTGGAAGAAAGCAAACATGAAAGAAGCAGCAGATCCCGAATCTCTTGCCCGGTCGGTTCTACTTCCCGCGTCCTTCCCCAGGATCTCGGAATGTCAGATTGATGCTTCCTGGCACTCGCAGGACTCTCTAAGTGGACATGGTTGGGTTTTAGTCGACGAAGACCGTATTCTTCAGCTTGGCTTAATGAGCTCGAGAAGGAGCCTCTCACCGCTTCACGCGGAGATTGATTCTTTGCTCTGGGCAATGGAGTGTTTGATCTAGCTAGGCATTACCAATGGCGTCTTCGCATCTAATTGCTCGGACATGATATCTATCCTAGACAACCAAGACGCTTGGCCATCTTTCGCAGCAGAAATGACCTCTTTCCTGTCACTCGTTTGTTTTTTTCCGTCGTTTAGTATTAGATTTGTTCCTCGAAGTTTTAATACTCGAGCAGATTGTTTAGCTAAAAAAGCTCGGGCTAGGAATAATCTATTTTCCCATGTAAGTTCGTCGGTTCCTAATTGGCTCTCCCTAGCGGAGAGTCTCTTTCCGATATCTTAATAGAAATGGTGTTTGAGGAAAAAAAAAATATATATATATACATACAAATTAAATTCTAAATATTAGAATGATTTATATTATACAAATAAAGTTGTATTTATGTCAGTCATAAGTTTAGGCTTATAGATTTGTTGTTTCAATTTAAATTTTATAATACAGAAAAGAATTTGTTGGTGTCGAAATGCATACGTTGAATGTTTATATTGTCTAAGTTTCTAATTAAAAAAATAATGCATTCATATAAATAAAATCTTCACAAAGAAACTTTCTTATTTAAAATTTTTAGATATCTAATTTTGGTAACTTTAGTTAGAATAGTGTATGGGATTAAAAGTATTTGGCGAGAAGTATAATCATATATATGAAAGTTGGCCAACTCTCTCCATATGAGTGCCATATCATCACGCAAAAAAATGACATGTGTCATTCAACATTATTTAAATTAAAAATCAGCAAAATTAGTTAAGGGAAAATCAAAAGTCTCATATTGTGTTAAATCCTCCATTAATTCCATTTTTAAATGATTTTTTCAAAATAAAAATAAAATTATAAAATTATTTTAATAAATCAATCACTGCTTTCATTTTATTTTTATTATTTTTCTAATTTTTTAAATTAATGGTCGATGGTCATCACTCGATAATGACTAAATAATTATTTGTATTATAATTTAGTTGTTTGCTACCTAATATCTTATTAGTTTAGTAATTTTACCTTGAATATTTTCTTATTATTACGTTATGGTTCATATCTTATCATATGACATTCTCTCTTTTCATTTTTGTGTCTTATTGTAAATTCGTAACATTGACATGCAATTTTTTTCAAGTAATGAGCTTTTGAAACGTTAGATATACCACGAAATTCAAGACAAATCTATTTATCTTATATGGATATATGCAATAGCATAAAATGTAAAAGTGCTACTTAAATAACTCTTTAATTTTGACATTCTTTTTAGTCTTTTCATACGAAAACTCTTGAGATCAAAATATCTTATATTCTTGTTGTCTGTATTCATGATAGTAAGCAATATTAGAATCATAGATATAAAAATAATCATATTATATATGAAAATGTATAAATTTATTTAGAGTCAAAAACGAATCAAACCATAAAAATTGAAGTACATAAGATGAGTCTAATTTTAATAACTATACAACAAAAAAATAAACATAAATTAGCAAAACAATTAATTAACATATTTTTATCGTAACAATTTTTAAAACAAACTCACATGTAGCGTGAGAATTCATCTAGTAATATATAAGAGATGCAGATTTTTTTTTTAATTGTTAACAACTCTTACAATTGTGATATCTTTTTTGAACTTGAACCCATGTGGTAACAAAATCACAACACTAGTACAAACCATTGGGATATGTCATGATCTAATTCTATATATCATGTGGATTTATGATGTACTTCTATTTTAATTTTATAACTATTTTTAAAAAAGCATTTATTTGTTTTTTAACAAAATTTTACTTAGGAAAAGATAGGTACTCACATTTACATTTAGCATATTGACTTATTTTTCTTTTGAAAATTGATTTAGGAAAATATGGATAATTTAAAATGTAATACAAAAAATATAATGGACAGAAGAGGAGCGCAAACAACAAAATTTGACAGTGTTCAATTTAGTTTCACATTTGGTCGATGGTCATCACTCGATAATGACTAAATAATTATTTGTATTATAATTTAGTTGTTTGCTACCTAATATCTTATTAGTTTAGTAATTTTACCTTGAATATTTTTTTATTATTACGTTATTGTTAATATCTTATCATATGACATTCTCTCTTTTCATTTTTGTGTCTTATTGTAAATTCGTAATATTGACATGCAAATTTTTTCAAGTAATGAGCTTTCGAAACGTTAGACATACCACGAAATTCAAGACAAATCTATTTATCTTATATGGATATATGCAATAGCATAAAATGTAAAAGTGCTACTTAAATAACTCTTTAATTTTGACATTCTTTTTAGTCTTTTCATATGAAAACTCTTGAGATAAAAATATCTTATATTCTTGTTGTCTGTATTCATGATAGTAAGCAATATTAGAATCATAGATATAAAAATAATCATATTATATATGAAAATGTATAAATTGATATTTAGTGTCAAAAACGAATCAAACCATAAAAATTGAAGTACATAAGATGAGTCTAATTTTAATAACTATACAACAAAAAAATAAACATAAATTAGCAAAACAATTAATTAACATATTTTTATCGTAACAATTTTTAAAACAAACTCACATGTAGCGTGAGAATTCATCTAGTAATATATAAGAGATGCAGATTTTTTTTAATTGTTAACAACTCTTACAATTGTGATATATTTTTTGAACTGGAACCCATGTGGTAACAAAATCACAACACTAGTACAAACCATTGGGATATGTCATGATCTAATTCTATATATCATGTGGATTTATGATGTACTTCTATTTTAATTTTATAACTATTTTTAAAAAAGCATTTATTTGTTTTTTAACAAAATTTTACTTAGGAAAAGATAGGTACTCACATTTACATTTAGCATATTGACTTATTTTTCTTTTGAAAATTGATTTAGGAAAATATGGATAGTTTAAAATGTAATACAAAAAATATTATGGACAGAAGAGGAGCGCAAACAACAAAATTTGACAGTGTTCAATTTAGTTTCACATTTGGTCGATGGTCATCACTCGATAATGACTAAATAATTATTTGTATTATAATTTAGTTGTTTGCTACCTAATATCTTATTAGTTTAGTAATTTTACCTTGAATATTTTTTTATTATTACGTTATTGTTCATATCTTATCATATGACATTCTCTCTTTTCATTTTTGTGTCTTATTGTAAATTCGTAATATTGACATGCAAATTTTTTCAAGTAATGAGCTTTCGAAACGTTAGACATACCACGAAATTCAAGACAAATCTATTTATCTTATATAGCTATATGCAATAGCATAAAATGTAAAAGTGCTACTTAAATAACTCTTTAATTTTGGCATTCTTTTTCTTCTTTTCATACGAAAACTCTTGAGATCAAAATATCTTATATTCTTGTTGTCTGTATTCATGATAGTAAACAATATTAGAATCTTAGATATAAAAATAATCATATTATATATGAAAATGTATACATTGATATTTAGAGTCAAAAACGAATCAAACCATAAAAATTGTAAGTACATAAGATGAGTCTAATTTTAATAACTATAAAACAAAAAATAAACATAAATTAGCGAAACAATTAATTAACGTATTTTTATCGTAACAATTTTCAAAACAAACCCACGTGTATCGTGGGAATTCATCTAATAGAATTAAAGAATGAAAAAAAGATAAGAATAATTGTGGGCATGACACATAAGCATCAATAATTCTCTTTTAATATGTAGATATATATATATATATATATATATATATAAATATATATTTGTATTATATAAATAAAGACATGTTTCATTTAACTTGGATATAAATTTTGAGGCAAAAATACACAAATATCATCGGTTCTCTACTTTCGGAGGCTTTAAAAACTTGTTTACGGATCCTACAAATCACTCATACGGTACTTACAATCACTTCTTAGTAGGTCACCCATCTTGAAATCGCTCCAGCACAAGCATGCTTAACGACGGAGTTCTTTAGGGTTGTTTGACCAAAAACAATAAGTGTACCTTAGTTACATAGGTGACCAAATAAATTCTTTTAACCTCTTTTACATGCATCCAAATCGGAAAAACAATGTTGTCATTTTTGTTCTGCATTTTAATTCATTCGAATAAAAAATCAAATTTAAATCACATTAAAATATGATTTGGTCTTTTGATCGGATCAGCTTGTCGAGATTAAACAACCCTATGGCTTTCATTTAGGTTTACATATATAACGGAAAATTTTAAAAGCCAATAACACTACGAAAAAAGCCAAACATATTGGCGTTCATTTATTATATAAAATCAAAACTCTAAATGCCAATAAAACCAAAATTACACCAACCCTACTACTATAGAAACTCTTAATAATCAGATACTATATAGAAATTGCTACAAAGATGTTTGTAAATCAAAGTGCATTACCAATATGATACGCGTAATAAGATAGAGTACATATGTACATGTGCTCTTTAGTCTCGAATGAGTTATATAAACAAACCGACGTTTTGTTTTAACGCGTTTGGGACGGTTTTCCATGAGGAGATCTAATATCACGAAGTCTCTTCTCCTTGGAGAGGATTCCTGCTAACCTGTCCAGTGATCACCCAAAAATGAAAAACACATCAAGCATGATACTAAAAATTATAGTTGATCTTATTTCTCTATGGTCTAAATCATATTATTAAACGTACTTGATAAGAGCCTTCTCGTTTGTAGTCTTGTAGGCATCCTCATTGCACCCCGTTTCTAGATTTACTCTTGACACTGGTTTCTTCAATAGTTTCTCTCCTGTCTTCACAAGATTACTCAAATTTTCCTCTGTTGCTATATCGACCGAGCATGCGTCCCCCGTTAATGTATCATCCTAAATAAATGATTTCCAAACAATTTGGTTAGAAAAGTAAGATTCAATGGTCAAAAAATGAGCGTGTATATATGTTTATTGTTTGTTATAGCAATTCAAAAATGTATATGATCATGAATATATGACTCGCAATATTGTGTATATAGTATCAAAGGAAAACTTAATGATTCATATAATTTACCTGGATACGGATATAGTTAGGCTCAGAATGGAGAGCCTGGAATACGGTAGATAGATGAAAATCAACCATATCGGAGCTTGCGTGTGTAAAGGCATCGATGATTGGTGTGGAATTATTGTGTGTCAACCAACTCAACATTCCCCAACCCGCACATTCTCTTGCATCGAATTTCTCATCAACCTTACGATCACCGGTCCCAAGCGACAGGACGAGAAACCTTCCGTAGTCATTTGCTTTTATGGGAAAGAAATCAGTGTTACCTCGTGTAATCTCCTTTGTCACTTCTCCAATGGCCAACAAAGCCTATAGTCAAAGCATGTACCGATCAAAATTTTGTTTCAGAAAAGGCTCCAAAAATATAACTAAGTGACCCAAATTATAATTTGAAAAATTACTGGGTTGTTAGCTGCAACACCACCATCAATGAGATTGAACTCCTTGACGTTCCCGGCCGAGTCTTGTGTTTGAAAGTGATGGGCAGGCAGATAAGTTGGGGCAGCTGAGGTTGAGATGCTAATATCCGCAAGTAGTGCGTTTTTGAGAGGATTAGTTTTCACCTATTAACACCAACAATATATCATGTAAATTGTAAACTTTTTAATTATTTGAAAAGAATACATGAATTTACAATATGCAAACCTCATAGGTAGTGAAAATTGTAGGCTGAAGATGTTTAATATCAAAAGAAGGAATCACTACGTTGGTGAGTGTTTGGTCTAATCTTGTGTCTCCTAATTTTTCTTTGATAAGTTGGTGAAGGTAGTGACCGTCATACTTTGGTCCGGTTAAAGACTTCAACAAATTTTTCGCAGCCGAAAAAGGAAATTGATCTTGAGGAAAAATCTTAGGACAATGCTCAAGATAGAAGTCCTTGATCTCGTTGGCAGCAAATAAGGGACGACCTTCTTTGTTTGGGGCGGTCAGCATTGCAGTCACTAGACCGCCTGTGCTCGTCCCCGCAATCACATCGAAGTAATCTGCAAGCCTTGCTCCTTCCCCATCTAGTTTCTAAGCACATAACCATTTCTATTATTCAACAGAAAAAATATAAAAACCAAAACTTATTTGACGAACTCAATACTAATACTTTGAATTGACATAATTCAAAATTTAGTTTCATCTTAAAATTTATCCAAATTAATCTTCTTAGTGGATTATGATGGCTTTATTTATATATCAATAATTAGTCAATGTGCATGTCTTGCAATTACAAAAAAGTTGTAAGTTTAAAATCTAACAACGAAAGTTGTTATAAAATATTTGACATGCTTTTAGTTGCAACGTTTATTACAGAGTCCTCTAACCAATAAATATCATCACTTCAAAATACTATCAAAATAGATTATAATTTCCACACTCTATCTTAGATATAAGAATTTCATTCTTTCGTTTATACGTTTTTCGATCCGAATAATTTCCACACTCTGAGTCTGAGATGATTAGAATATGTAGTTTTTGGTAATATTATATTTTACGATATCTAAGGTTTTAAGCTTTAATTCATAATTGTTAGTTATTTTTGAAACTCTTATGATTAAAAAAATAAAATAGTATATATGGATTTAGAAATAGAGAAACTAAAAAATATTCCATATAAATAAATCAAAAAATTCAAATATAGAGATACACTTAATCATTTTCAAGTTACCTATATAACTTTTATAGTATTTTCTTTTTATAATTTATTTGCTGTATAAATAATAAACTTTATTAATATAATCAATATATTTATTGTTTAATTTGCCCCCAATCCATTTTTCTTCTTGAACCCGTCACTCCTAATTCTTGACTATAATTACTAATTGAAAAAGTCTTATTTGATATGGTTTTGATTTTGTATAAATCAAAATGAAGAAATTAAAGACACAACATAAAAATACCTGAAGCTCAGACTCGAGAAATGAGAGAATAGTTGCAGGAATAATTCCTCTGATGCCACCACCATCAATGCTAAGAATAGTGATCAAGTTACCATAAGTAGGAGGTTGAAGAGGAGATTTTGGACTGTCCATTATTATTTTCTTCACAGGAGAAAAAGAAGCTTCAAGGTCTCTCTACATAACAAGAGAGAAAGGAAAATTTTGATGCTTTTGATTTATTTTGATAAAGAGATTCTGATGCTTTTGATGATATGGTTTATGTGGTGGGAATTTATAGGCAATACATACTTGACAATTCATTGAATCTTCAAACAATTTTGAAACGAAATTAACTTGTACCTTCATCCTTTCTTCTTCTAATTTTATTGGTTAATATTTTCAAATCAGTGTTGTCTACCCAATTATGCATTTTACGTAATACTTTTTTCTTCTTATTAGACTCTGTCAAACCTTAAAATGGGATAATTTAGTTAATCCGCTTTTCCAAATTACATTCCCTTTTTCCAACTTTTCCGCTATTTCGAGAATTCAAAGCATGTGATCATTCAGCATGACAGCATGAGTTGGTACTACATAGATCTTCTTTACTTTAACTAATTTTCTTAACTTTTTTCTTTATAGAATTCGGACTCAGGCCCTTTCGCGATGTTGCAAAGAAATAAATTAATGATAAATTATGTAATATTATCTCAATTATTTTTATAAAAAGATATGTTGAATTAATTTTTTTAGAAATTAAAAATTAAATTTTATGAGTCTATTATGTATTCTTTCTTGATTTTTTTTTAAAACGACTTAATATAAATATATTTTATTAAGAAGGTTATATATATCTCCACAATCTAAATATTATGGAAAAAAAATTAATGTTATCTAACTATCAATTAGAAATTCACATCAGCAAAATTATTTTAAACTAGTTTTTGTTTTGCCCATCATTTCAAATTGGTTGATACAAGGAGAGAAAAGGTTGTGCCACCTGGATTCGAGTTCTAACATAGTTTCTCCGGATTCCAGGATTAGTTTTTGGGCCTAAAAAGCCTTTGAAATCACCTGAGTTATCAAAAAAAAAAACATAGAAATACACCTATAAAACTGTATAATATATATGTTCAGAATATTATAAAGACTTTATCATAAATGTTTTACATGACAATTTACACATTTGATTAGATAATTTACCAATTTGTACATAAAAAGATTGGAAAAATTGGTAGAATAACCCTCATCTTTCCTACTATTTTAATATAACGACTTTTTAAAAAAATAAGTTGAGTTTATTAATAATAGGATTTATTTTACCATTTATGAAAAGATGAGAGTTTAAAACCCAAAAAAAAAAGTGAGGATTTTTCTACCTATTTTTCCAAAAAGATTAATAGAAAATTTCTTAAGAACATTCCAAAACAACGTTTCAATTCTAGTTTATAAAATGTAACCTTTTTTTGTAGAACAACAACGACTATTAGAAATTTCTATGGTAATTTTGGTTTCAATACGTATGTGGGAACGAAGATATATTTATAGTACCTAGTACCTACCGTATCCTTAGTTTAATTAGATAACTTTGGGTTCAATACGTACGTGCCTTGTTTGAAAAATCGCTAGGCGCTAGTCGGACGCTCGGCATGGGCCTAGCGATTAATCGGAAAATTGGATTAAAATCGGAGATTAATCAGGGATTAGTTTTAGGGTTATTTTAATATTTTTAAAACATATTAATCTAATATTGTTTTCAAAATTGCAATAAACACTTAAAAATATATTTTTGAGACAATTTTTTTATGATTTTTATTACAAATTTATGATTTTTATTAAAATTTGAACATAAGTTATTGTAAAACATCACAAACTCCCAATTCAAATGGTTGAATAACAAAAATAAAAAGTTTTTTTATATTTTCAATCTAAAAATATTCGGGGTATGTAAGATTAGGCGGGGAATAATTGGATTAGGCGGAAAATAATCGGATTAGGCGGAAAGTAATCGGGTAACTGATTTCTTTAAGGGATTAGTCATTAATCGAGGCGGATAAGGTGCGCCTAACGATTAAGCGGGGAGTAATCGGGGCTAGACGGGGATTTTTAGAACAGAGCGTACGTGTCCATTGTGTATTATTTACTATTATTATATTGTGTAGTAAAATGACCAAACATTTTATATTGATTTTGTTTGGTCTGCCAATTCATTGCATTAGAACGGAGGTACAAATCTAACATCTTATTGAATATTGACTTTATTCAAACGGACAAGTGACCACAATGTGGGCTTTTTATTAATATAAATCCAAACGTGCTACGTGCATTAGTAAAACAAAAGAATCATCAACTATTGATAAGATAAAATAATGATATATTTATATACTAATTGAAGCTTTTGCATGAGGTGATCGCATATCTCGGATCTTCTTTTCTTTTGAAAGTATTCCTGCTACACAGCCAAAATTTAAATATATAAGCAAAATATTTTTAATCACGTAAATATGAATGATTAAAGCTATCAAATGCAAAAATTAGGCCACTTACTTTATAAGAGCATGTTCATTAGTCGTTTCATAAGCATTTTCATTACAACCCGAGTCTAGGTTGACTCTTGCAACAGGTTTCTTGAGTAGTTCATCTCCTGTCTTGGCGAGAATGTCAAGATTCTCGGCGGTAGCGATATCAACAGAAGCAGCATCCCCAGTTAATGTGTCATCCTATATAATTGATACATACCCATATCTTAAGGAATCAGTGTCTTATTTTCTTAGCATTTATAATATCACGTTTTTTATTTTTTTTTGTCATCATTTACCATATTTTCTTACCCTAAACCCTAAACATTTCCTAATCTCTCATCATTTTACCTTTGTCACCGAATTATTCCCGCACATTTGCTCAGCTAGTCACCTAGTATATTGGGAAAAAAAATAATATTATCTATCAATTAGAAATTCACATCAGCAAAATTATTTTAAACTGGTTTTTGTTTTGCCCATTATTTCAAATTGGTTGATACAAGGAGAAAAAAGTTTGTGCCATGGCCATCGGGGTTCGAATTCTAACATGGTTTCTCCGGATTCCAAGATTAGTTTTTAGGTCTAAAAAACTTTTGAGATCACCTGAGTTATAAAAAAGAAAGAAAAAAATACAAACCATAGAACTACACTTATAGCTGTATAATAAATATGTTCAGAATATTATAAAGACTTTATTATGAATGTTTTACATGAAAATTTACACATTTAATTACATAATTTACCAATTTGTACATAAAAAGATTAATAAGAAAATTTCTTAAGAACATTCCAAAACAACGTTTGAATTCTAGTTTATAAAATGTAACTTTTTTTTGTAGAACAGACTATTAGAATTTTCTATGGTAACTTTGGTTTCAATACGTATGTGGGAACGAAGATATATATATTTATAGTACCTACCGCATGCTTAGTTTAGTTTATTTAGATAACTTTTGGTTCAATGCGTACGTGTCCATTGTGTATTATTCACTATGATTCTATTGTGTGGTAAAATGACCAAACATTTTTTATTGATTTTTTTTGTCTGCCAATTCATTGCATTAGAACGGAGTTACAAATCTAACATCTTATTGACTTTATTCAAACGTACAAGTGACCACAATGTGGTGCAACCTTTTTAATAATATAAATCCAAACATTAGTAAAACAAACGAATCTTCAACAATTGAAAAAGATAAAATAATGATCTATTATTCTATTTAGATCGTAATTGGAGCTTTTGCATGAGGTGATCGCATGTCTCGGATCTTCTTTTCTTTTGAAAGTATTCCTGCTAACCTTCACAGCCAAAATTTAAATATATTAGCAAAATATTGTTAATCACGTAAATATGAATGATTAAAGCTATCAAATGCAAAAATTAGGCCACTTACTTTATAAGAGCATGTTCATTAGTCGTTTCATAAGCATTTTCGTTACAACCCGAGTCTAGGTTGACTCTTGCAACAGGTTTTTTGAGTAGTTCATCTCCTGTCTTGGCAAGAATGTCAAGATTCTCGGCGGTAGCGATATCAACAGAAGCAGCATCTCCAGTTAATGTGTCATCCTATATGATTGATACCCATATCTTAGGAATTATGGCGACAAAGAAAAATAAATGGTTAGTGAGTTGATTTTGATACCTGGATGCGAATATAGTTGGCTTCGGAATGAAGAGCTCGAAAAACGGCAGAGAGATGGAAATCAACCATGTCGGAGCTAGCTTGCGAGAAAGCATCAATGATAGGTGTAGAGTTGTCGTGTGTTAACCAACTCAACAATCCCCAACCAGCTACTTCTTTTGCATTGAATTTCTCTTCCGCTTTACGATTTCCGGTTCCAAGCGAAAGCACAAGAAACCTTCCGTAATCATTTGGTCTTATTGGGAAAAAATCACTGCTTCCCCTTGTGATCTCATTCGTTACCTCCCCAATGGCCAGCAAAGCCTACATTCGACATAACCAATATTTGATATATTACTCAAGAGTTTTAAAGAAACATTCGTATCGACTATAATAAGAGCCTATACTTGACATAACCAATATTTGACATATTATTCAAGATTTTAAAGAAACATTCGTATCGACTATTATAAGAAATTCCTTAGTGAAAAATGAAATATAGGCTATCATTGTGTTTCATGTTATAAAAGTCTATAATTGTTGATATTCATCGTATAGAAACCCTATTGCGACATAAATCAGATCTCTAAAAACTTACCGGGTTGTTAGCTGCAACTCCACCATCAATAAGATTGTATTCTTTAACGTTTCCGGTTGAATCTTCAACTTTGAAGAAATGGGCAGGCAAGTATGTAGGGGCAGCTGAAGTTGAGATGGCAATGTCAGCGAGGGTTGCGTTCTTGAGAGGATGATTTTTTACCTATAAAATAGTCATATATATTATACCAAAGTTTTGTTAATTAATATATTGTAATTCCACAAATAGAAAAAGCTATAAACAAACCTCATAACTACTAAAGATAGTAGGTTGAAGATGCTTGATATCGAACGTTGGAATGACAACGTTGGTAAGTGTTTGACTCAACTTTGTATCACCCAACTTAGTGTGGATAAGCTGATGAAGGTATTTACCGTCATATTTCGGACCAGTCAAGGACTTCACAAGGTTTTTGGCGGCCGAGAATGGGAAATGATCTTGAGGGAAGATCTTTGGACATTGCTCAAGATAGAAATCTTTAATCTCAGAGGCTGCAAACAAGGGTCGGCCTTCCTTATTAGGCGCGGTGAGCATGGCTGTCACCAGACCACCGGTGCTTGTTCCCGCCATTACATCAAAGTAGTCTGCAAGCCTTGCTTCTTCTCCATCCAATTTCTATACATCCATGTAAATATATATAGAGTTAAAACAAGAATAATGTTATAAACAAGATACATGTATAGAGGGGCTACTACGGTGGTTTGAGTACTCAACATCAACCAATTAAGGAAAAAGATCAAAGCTTTGTCCAAGAGATGTAATTATGAAACTTCAAACTCAAAGTAACACGTACGTGGTTGTAAAAACTGTTTTTTTGGATTGAATAATAATTTTACATTCATTCAAAAAAAAAAAGATATATGTATATAGTTAGGTAGCACATATAAACCTGAAGTTCGGACTCGAGAAAACCAAGGATAACGGCAGGGATTAGCCCTCTAATGCCGCCACCGTCGATGCTGAGGATTGTAACTAAGTTTCCATAGGTCGGGGGCTGGAGAGGAGATTTGGGGCTGTCCATTTGCATCTTACAAAACAAGCAAAGCAATTTATTGATACTTTTTTTCTTGTTAATGGATATCAATGTATTGATACTCGAGGAGATAGAACTTTGATTGTGAGATACTATAAGTGGTTAACAAACTCTATGTATTTATAGGACACAAGTGGCTGCTGTTTCAAAGTTAGACCATGTCTTCATTCTTAGGATATTCACTCGTCAAATGAACTGGCATAGCTTCATCCGTTTGTTTTGAACTCTAATCTAATTGGTTCTTGATTTCTTCCTTTGTAGACAACATGGACTTTTCGTCGACCTCTTTACTTCTTCCACATTAAGACCATGTCAACGCTTTTATTACAAAACTACAATGATTCTTTTTGTTCAAATGATATTAACTTCCCTATTTTCGAGTTGGTATGTCACTTTTTTCTAATGAATTATCAGTTTTGTTTTTTGTTTAGATCCTGACCACTGTTCACACGCAAAGGATCGTTCTTCTAGTCGCCTAGAGATGTTCATGAGAGAAAACAACCTACGTTGTAATATTACTGCTAATTATACTTCCAACAGTGATTTTTTTTTTTATATAAACAACGAAAGCATGGTCAGTCGGTCATAGAAGTTACTTTACGTTCAATATATTATGGGTAAAGACAGCTGTGTCATGGGATTTTTGAAAAGATCAATGCCGTGACAAATAGAAAGTTACAAAATATATCTTTTATGGCAACATTAAAAAGTCTTAAGGATTTTAGCCGCCACTCAATACTTATCCCATCACTGCAACTTCCTTACATTGACCAAAAGAAGTCAAATAGTACATCAACATTTTTTTCTCATTTAACACCCTTAGTTAAACTTACTATAATAATTTCAAACAATATTAATCGACATATTTCCCTGAGAAATACATTTATTCTTTGGGAACTTTACTCAGGTGTATAACATTTTATATGAAATTACCAGATACATACAGATCTTTTTATTATTACTATCATATTTCGGGTATATTTTTTATACCCAGCGTGCCCCTGCTAAACGTTACAGGAAAAAACGTAATTACAAAGAATGCCACTGCCATGTCAGCAAAGCCGCGTCGCCACGTCAGAAATCGCTGACGTGTATTAATGAACTCAGCCGTAAAGCGATACAGCGGCAGTAACGGCTGAGTTACGGTTAGTAGCGGCTGATTTATGGAAAATGACTGAGTTATGAGCAAACGGCTGACTTACGAGTATAACTCAGACATTAGTTACGACTGAGTTAATAAAGTCGGTCTGAGTTATGAGAAAATGGCTGACTTTCGAGCATAACCCAGCCTAAGTTACGGCTGAGATTTCACCCGTTGGTTGATTTGTCAAAATTTTGGCTGAGTTATTTCTTCGACACGGCCGAGTTAACTTTTTCCGGTTGGCTGGGTTATCAAAGACGGCCTAGTTATGTGATGTCGTTACGGCTGATTTAGCCTCTAGTGTCATAAATCAGCCGTAATGAGCTGAGTTAATGGAAAACTCGGCCCAATTACGGCTGACTTAGTAGCGAAAGATTAATTACTAGAATAGCTTGCAATTACGGCCGACTTATCAAACGATACGGCTGAGTTAAATATTTTCGGTTGAGTTACGACATTAAACGGCTGAATTTGGCTGCATTTTTTTCGATTTTTAATTACTGTAATAGTATGCATGTTGCGACCGAGTTAAAGTTTTGTTTGATGGCTGGTTTAATTCGGTTGATTAACATTTTCGTTTGGTGGCTTACTTGCCACTTCATCAATTAAAAAAATGACGTGGCATGCAACATTCCATGTCATCATTCCATGTCATCATCATCAAGGGAAATACGAAAGGTCTTTTCTACTACTCATCTTCTTCTTCATTGTGTCGATCTTCACCTGTGTTTTTCCACATCTCTGGAACTTAAATTTCACTCGACTCGTCATCGTCTTACTTCTTCATTTTCGTTCTTCCTTACCCCGATATGACTGATCCGGTTCCGGTAATTGTTGTTTCCGGTAACTGGGTAAAGAAACACAAATTCGTATTTAACACCGACGATAAAGGGTGTAGAGTTGTGCAGATAGATGAGGAAACAACGCACGACAAGCTTGTGAAGTTGGTGCTCGATGACTACGGATTGAATGAGTTGAGCCATCAGTTAAAGCTGAGCTACATGTTCTCGAAGAAGGCTATGAAAAATATGTCGCTTGATACTCCACCAGTTTATGTCTCCAATGATCGACAGTTGCAATGTTTTCTAAGCCTACGGAAAATCGATCAACTACGTCTCTGTGTGGAATTTACGGTGAAAGAGTATATGGAAATTAGTCGGAAGGACGGATCGAGAGGAAGGATGAAACGGCCATCCAGTTCTGGCTCAAAATTAGAATCTAGATACGAAGTTCCCGATGGTGGATTTGAAGGTTTCTGTTATGATTATAGTGAAAATCAAGACGAAGAAGCAGGTGACCAAGAAGCAGGTGACCAAGAAGCAGATGACGAAGAAGAAGATGATGAATTTTCAAGCCGATTTGATGTTTTCGACGACTCCGATGGTGCCTCATCTGATGATGATAACTTTACTGTATACGGCGATCCTCAGAATAAAGACGAAGATTCACCGTCTCTGCCTCCTAAGAAGAAACCTCAGAACATTGAAATGGCCGGATCGGCTGGGGACTCGGAGGCTTTAAGGTTGGAGTTGTCTTCGCTAAACCTCGCTGTAGGTCAACGATACCAGAGCAAAGAAGATTTGGTGTATCGACTCAAACTTCTTGCGGTAAGGGATGGATTTGATTTTAATGTACCAGTCTCAAATCCGACCGCAGTGAATATTGTTTGCTGGGTTGATGAATGTCGATGGAGAGTTCGTGCATCTACACAAGGGGATGAGCCACATTTTTATGTTCGTATATACGATTCGGAACACACATGTTCTGTGACGGAACGTTCTAATCGATCCCGACAAGCAACACCTGATGTTTTGGGAGGTCTTTACAGGGACTTTCTTGGTGACGTTGGTGCGGATGTTAAACCTAAATCAGTCGGAGTAATTATCAATAAGCATTTTAGAATAAAGGTAATTACTGTGTCGCGGCTGACCTATTGATTACTATACGACTGACTTTTTCTCATCTCGGCTGATTTATCAATACATTCCGGCTGACTTATAGTTTACGACTTATATATATTACGGCTGACTTATGTTTACATTGTGGTTGACTTATATCTTACGGCTGACTTATGTTTACATTGTGGCTGGGTTATATATATTACGGCTGACTTATAGTTACGATATGTTGGTGTCAACAGATGGGTTATTGGAAGTCACATAGGACGCTCCTGTATGCAAGGCAGATCGATCAGGGAACTCCTGAGAGTAGTTTTGAAGAACTGCCTTCTTACCTATACATGATAAGACGGGCAAATCCGGGTACAGTCACGCGTCTTCAACTTGATGATGAAGGAAGATTCAACTATGTGTTCATTGCTTTTGGTGCCAGTATTGCTGGGTTTCCTTTCATGCGCAAAGTTGTTGTTGTCGACGGTACGTTTCTCCATGGAAGTTACAAAGGGACCCTTCTAACAGCCCTAGCTCAGGATGGTAATTTTCAGATTTATCCAATAGCTTTCGGTATTGTTGACACCGAAAATGATGATTCTTGGCGTTGGTTTTTTACGCAACTCAAAGTTGTTATCCCTGACGATAAGGATCTTGCGATAATCTCGGACAGACATAAGTCAATAGGGAAAGCAATTGGTGAAGTGTTTCCGTTGGCTTCTCGTGGAATTTGCACTTACCATTTGTATAAGAACATTTTGGTGAAATTCAAAGGAAAACATTTGTTCCCTCTGGTGAAAAAAGCGGCAAGGTGTTTTAGGCTGAGTGATTTTAATGAGGCGTTCAATGAGATTGAAGCGTCTGATCAAAACCTACATGGATACCTCCAACGAGCTGGTGTCCAAATGTGGGCGCGTGTTCATTTCCCGGGTGAAAGGTACAATTTAATGACTACTAATATTGCGGAATCAATGAACAAAGCACTGTCAAAGTCCAGAAGCCTTCCCATAGTTCGACTGTTAGAATCGATACGGACTATGATGACCAGATGGTTTGCTGAACGGAGAGTGGACGCGAATTCGCAGCAAACAACGCTCTCACGAGGTGTTGAAAAACTGTTGCAGGTAACTCAGCTGTAACTGCTTAAATAAGTCAGTCGTCAAACGTTCTTAAACCAGTCATTATTTCCATAAATCAGACTTAACGTATTTTGTTTTTTTTTTCCCCTCTAATAGGCCCGTGTCACCGCGGCAAGACTTATGGGTGTACAAACGATTGATGCTTTACGCGTGCAGGTAACTTATGGAACACAGTTGCAAATTGTAAATGTGGATTCTAAAAAATGCACATGCCGTCGTTTCGACCACGAGAAATTACCATGCATACATGCAATCGCAGCTGCAGAGCATATGGGTGTGTCTCGTATATCCCTGTGCAGTCCTTACTATAAGAGAAGTTACTTGGTTAGCGCATACGCTGCTCCAATCATGCCTTCCGATACGGCAATCCCTGTTCCTCAAATTGTAGTTAACCAACCGTGCTTGCCTCCGATTGTTGTAAACCAGCCAGGAAGGCCCAAGAAAATTAGGATTAAATCATCTTTGGAAGTTGCCATTGGAAACAAACGCCCTAGGAAGCAACATGTATGTTCTCGATGTAAACAAGCTGGGCATAATGCTAAAACTTGTCAGTCGTAGTATTGTTTGTATGAATTCTCTTTTATGTATTTGTTAATGGCGAATTAATCTGAGTAACTCAGCCGTATATCGTTATAATAATTCGGCCAAACCACGAATTCATCTGTGGTACATCATCCGTGTTGTTGTCATAACTCGGCCAAACCACGAATTCATCTGTGGTACATCAGCCGTGTTGTTGTCATAACTCGGCCAAACCACGAATTCATCTGTGGTACATCAGCCGTGTTGTTGTCATAACTCGGCCAAACCACGAATTAATCTGTGGCACATCAGCCGTGTTGTTGTCATAACTCGGCCAAACCACGAATTGTTATGTGTTAAATTCGTGATTTAATTTAATCTGAAATTAAACAACGTTTA